CACCCACACTCACACACACACACCGCTACCGCCCATCCTACTGTAAGTGCTGAGTAAGCAGTTAGCTGTGCAATACACAACATAATGTTCTTTTTTAGCAACGTCATATGAACCCTTTAAAATAGTCCATGTGACATCAGTGGTTCAACCGTAATTTTATGAAGCTACGAGAATAGGCCTACTTTTTGTGCACAACAAAAAACTAAAATAATGACTTTATTCGCATACATCGTGGTACTCTCATGAATGTGTGATGAAGACTGACACGGAAGAGAAGAAATTGTTGAATAAAGTCGTTATTCCTGTTTTCTTTCTTTGTAACCTTATTTTTCACACACATTAAAAAGCACTATTCTAAAAACCCAGTAAAAATTCCTGAGGGAACATAGCAAATTAGTCCTCTAGGTTAACCTACAAAATGGACATCATGACTGAACAACACCATAACAGGCACTGATGGACAGACTTGGACCATGTGCTATAAAAGAGCTACACCGTCATTCATTGTCCCATTAAAGAGATTTCAAGCATCTGCTATCCCTCCGAATCAAGAACGTACACAAAATACACAACAAATGCTCCAAGACAAAACAGCGATTTATCATATAAACAATACGCCTATTTACCCCGCTCCTGTTAGTGTGTGTGTGTAAGAATGGCTGTGGGCGCATTAAAGACAAAGCCATGACTGTTTCTTCCCTCTGGGTGAGAACGCAGCACACACTCCACCAACACACACAAATATGACAGCCTAGCACAGCCTGTTCAATCAGAGAGAGCGACAGAGAGATTACTATTGTTCTAGTGAAAATTATGCCCACTTCAGAAGATACAAAGGAACATAAGGGGGTCGTGCACACAGTCAGCAGCACAGCGTCACTATAAAGAATAAGCTTGCATTGAAGCTCCTACTGATGATTGTAATTTTACTCTCAGGATATACAGAACATCAGTTATCAGCCAATATTAGAGGGTTTTTTATTTATTAGTTCAAACGGGATATTTGATAGTGTTTATTTTCCCTATTTTTACTATGAGAATACCTTTTCATCATGTAACACTCACTTAAAGTTAATATTAATATGTAAAAACATTAATCATTTAAAACTGTGAAATGTAATTTATAGCAAATCTCCAAAAGAATAGGCCTATCCATTAAATTATAATGTTGTGATGCCTAAATTCACTACAATTACTGATTTGAGTTTGTAATGCTTTATTTTAAATTTATTTAGACAAACTAGTATAGAATTGTAAAATCTGCCATTGATATCATCTATAATTAAACATAAAATACGTTTTCTGGTGTTTAGGGCTAATAATATCTTTGCTACTCCCTTAGGATTACCTCAACGTGACTGGACAGGCCATGCTCAACACTGAACAGGCATTGTTGATGTGTAAATGTGGGCAGCCTTGTGTTAATAAGTTTAGGTTTCTGATGTTAGAAACAAGCCGTTTTGGCAGCACAGTTTTAGTACATGGTCTTTTTAGACTTTCTGGAGGACGTTTTGAGTAAAACTGCAAGTTTTAAAGTACAATGAACTCAAAAGAACAAGAACATTTTCATTTACCAGGATATGAGAATAACCGCCAAAAACCTCATAACTTCCTATACTATTATAGCATTTTGAATTAGCTTTTATTTTTAAATTTTTACTTTTCATTTCAATTTTAGTGTACGTTTTAGTCATTTTGCTAAGTGGTTTTATTCGCTTTTTTAATATTTGTATATAGCTTTAACTTTTACTTCAGCTGTACCTTTAGCAATTTTAGTACTTCAGCTTCATCTAATATTCACATATCAGTTGGTATTTCAACTTGATTTCAATCGATTTTTAATAGTTTTAGTTTAACAATAACAAGACTGCTTTCTACAATCCAGTTACAGCACAAAATATCATATTACACACACATTTACAAATCAACACACTTCACATTCACATGCTGGACTGAAAAGTGAATGACTAACACGACAGAAGTAGATCAGCTTTTCTGCTGTAGCTATTTTATTCATAGTTGACATTTCTGTGTCTTGTGTCGTTCAGTTACCTTCTGTTTTCTTGCACTCCGATAGTCTCTGACTGACTTCGGCGGGACTGAACCAGTCCGAATGTGTCAGCTCTGACAGCTTAATTGAACGTGAGGATTATGGCAGCTACAGTGAGCTAATATTACGCCCTTTTAAATCTATCAAATCTGCCATAACACACAACAGTCACACAGGCTTCAGAGTCAGACTCAATGTGTTGTGACCTATTTTGCAGTGTGTAATCTGAATGATGGCAATTCTTGTCATTCAATACAAATTCATTCATCCTCTTATTCTCTGACACAATCAAACATCAAGAGAGATCAACAGCTTGAAATTGCATTCAAAACAGCTGCTTCCAGATCTACGTTTCAGCCCACCACAAACACTTCAAGCTGACAACTGACCCACAATATACAGAGGTCACAAATTTAGATGTGGTTGTAGGATGCAAAGTATCTCTCTTCAAAACACTCAACACACATATATGCTCACTTAAAAAAACAAAAACACTTAACAATCAAGTAAACACAAGAGATGAAGCATGACAAAACCACAAAGGCTAGACACATTGACTGAGTGACAGATGCATCTTTCACAAAAAAAGGAAATAAAGTGTGTGTGTGTTTTAATGGGGGTTTATATATCACTAAAACAAATAGAGCAAACAAACCAATGAATCACTGTTGCTTTAGTATTATTTGTATACTAATATAGTATTTATTAATATTTTGATTTAACAATTTTTAATGGTTTTAGTTAACAATAACAACATTGCAGTGACTTAAAAATATTCACCAGAAAACTGACAAAACATGTCTGAGTGTTGCTAAGATAATATATTCACAGTTCCCTAACAACCAAAAATAAGAAAACCAGTCCTACAATAGGGACATGCCAGCCACGTCAGGCCCAGCCAATCAGATAGCATTTCCAAATGAGGCCACACCCACTGCAGTGGAAGCCCTCTAGGGGAAAATCCTACAGAAAAGCTCAGAAGACCAGCTGCTGTAGCTCATTAATCAGCTCATTAAAAACTAAAGTTAATGTCATTTTTATGACAGAGATGTATGAGTGTGTCTCACTGTGATAAGATGATTTGTTTCTCTCAGATTCTGCTCTCAGCTTCAATTATGTGCACAGAACAGACCTTTAAATTAACACAATTAACTGTAGGAATTCTGTGGTCAAATGTCGTGCTCCTCACACACATACATCAGGCAGACAAAGGGCCTGAAGGAAAATGTGTCTGTGGTACAGTTGTGAATCTTTTATTATGATCAAGAATTCATAAGGCACATCTCTCTCTCTTTATTCCCCATCCATCTCACCATTTGCTCCAGTTCAGGTTGTTTTAAAGGAATAGTTCACCAGAAAATGAAAATTTTCATTGCACACCCTCATGTTGTTCAAAAGCTGAATAACTTTCTTTCTGTGTAACGCAAAAGGTGAATTTGTGAAGAATATTCATCATGTGGCTTTCCATTGTGCCACCTGTATCATTATGGTGATACATTTTAAAGCAGATTTTGGTCATTCAAAATACATTACATATCTTAATAAAACATACAATTATTATAAAATACACAGGCATCTCATAATACCGGAAACATTATCACAGTATTTATTACAGTGCAACCATATTTAATGGGATATTTTTTTACAGTGTAGGACTGCCAATCTCCAAAATGACAAAAAAGGAAAATAAAAGCAATTCACAGAACTTACACATTATATTTCCAATCTTTAAGCATTTATGAGAGGTCATTTTTCTACCAAAAAATAAATAAATCATCCCCTTCATTTAGACTGGATCATTTAGTCAGAGAACTCGAGAACTTGATCAATCCAAATGGTGAACAAACCATTCAGACTGGTTTTGTGAGCTTGATCAACTGATCCATTAAAACGTCAAGACTCAAAAGAATGATTTGTTCAGTGAAAAATGATTTTCACTTTGAACTGCTCCTCACACGAAGCTATCGAGCGGCTTCGGAAGACCTGTGATCTTCATAGGGCCCACTTTATGATAGCTTTTGAAGCTTGAAAGCTCCAGTCCCCATTCTTTGCAACTGCAGTGAAAAAATAACCATTACTGTCTTTATTCATTCATTCATTTATAATTTCTCCTGTAAGTGAGGAGGGGTGCGTAATTAAAGACAGAATTCTCTTTTATGGGTGAACTGTCTTTTAAGGTCATTTGCGGACAACACCCATAGTTCATCATATCTATTATATGGGACAGAAACAAAAACAACCTGCATGCCAGCACACATACGGTGCTAGTCGAGCCCGTTTTAATAGTAGCTTCTCTGTTTTGATCTAATGTGTGGCTTAGAAAGAAAGAAAGAGAATACTTTGATGACTCATGAGAGCAAATAAGAGAAGCAGCAATCTCTGAAACACTGGGTCAGAACGTTATGTTCCGGTGGCAGTGCATCTAGTAGACCCACTGGGTTATTTTGCACGACACCGGCCCGTGTTGATGACAGCTCGACCCCTCCGGCAAAACCGATTCATAACAAACCGCGCGTGCCACCTCACAGCGCGAGAACGGAACCCTGACGTCACAAAGGCCAAAGAGTTTGTTTGTGTTCGCGGTCAGAACAGAACTGTCAGATCGCGCCAAGCATAACGGAAATTAATAATAATAATAATAATAAACTCTAAAAGACTATCTGTAGTGATGAAAGAGCAATCGGGTCACATTTTAACACTTAACGGTGAATGACAGAAAAGAGTTAACGTTACTAAATCAGCAGAACATCACTGGATTTGTGGCACCGTGATCCGATGCTGACACCGGTCCAATCAGACTCGCTGGATCAGTGCACCACAATGATAGTCTAACTAGTTCACACATCCTTTCTCTGTCTCACACAGACACACACCACTCCCTGTCGCCGTGCACCTGCCCGCTCGCTCACAAACAGCCCACCTGGGTCCACCGATCTCGCGCGACTCTCACCTGGGGATGCAGTTAGGAGAGGAGCCGTCTATCTCCCAGGTGGCGAACAGGTTCATAGGCACCGGTCTGTTTAGCGCCCCGCTCCCGGGGAAGCTTAACCGTCCACTTCTTTCCGCCATGCTCGCAGTTGGTGTCCCGTTCACCTCCACCGACACGGTGAGCAAACTTCTCCCTCAGGAACGCGCTGGATCTAAATCCTTCCCGCTGTTAATCCGCTGCTCTACGGAGCCGGGTTGCCGTTCACGGGTGGCGCAGCGATTCTCGTGCGGTGTCTGCGCGCAGCTTCATGCCGCTGTGGCTCGGAGTTTCCACACCGTGCACCGAGCGCTCGCGACAAGAAACTGCAGCGGCAGCAGCAGCAGTCGCTCACCGCATGAAGTCACGTGACCCCGGGTTGTACCAGAGACTGGCGCGTCTGCGCTCTCGCACACTCGGGATGGCCAGTAAATAACGGGACAACTGTAGTGAAAGTACCTAGTGCTGTTTATAAATGAACAGTTACGTCATGCTGGGATTGTACAGTATCACAATACAGTACGATCATTAATATTATAGTGCTTGCAAGTACTGGACATTTGGACTTGGGCAAAAAAGCAAGCATGGAGCATTTATTGAATCTACTTCATGATAAAGTTGGTCAAGATAAAATATAAATAAAATAACAATAATGGATGTTAATATAAGGCAATTATCGTTTAAATATTATCTCACAGATATTATATTATATTATATTACCATTCCAAATGTCCAGTATCCTGGACATCAATTTTACTTATATCATAACAATAGCATTCTATAATGATAATATAATACAATATTATAAATATACTTATATATTATTTGATACAAACAAAAATCAAGATTATCCTGATCCCAGTGGATTTCACCAACAAAATGGAATCAAACTTTACAATTGTTAAAACAATACAACATTTGTATCATGCAGATACTTAAATATAGCGGTTCTAAATTCACGCTAAACCACGGCTTCATGGGTTTTTGCTCTATTTTATTTTTGGTTTTGTGCTGGTAATCCTATTGGTATATTTTGCATGGGATCGCTATGCGCGCCGCGTTTGTATAAATGGAGAGAGGGATATGCTAATCATAGGAATCTATCCCTTGACGTGATTGGTTATTGAATTTTGTAACGTAGCAAACCAAGGGCTGTTTCAAACCGCGTTTCTGAGGCTGCCTTTGGGCAACCACAGTTTTAAAGGGGTCATATGATGCTGCTAAAAATAACATTATTTTGTGTATTTGGTGTAATTAAATGTGTGTATGCGGTTTAAGGTTCAAAAAACACATTATTTTCCACATACTGTACATTATTGTTTCTCCTCTATGCCCCGCCTTTCTGAAACGCGTAGATTTTTACAAAGCTCATCGGTCTGAAAAGCGAGGTGTGCTCTGATTGGCCAGCTATCCAGTGCGTTGTGATTGGCCGAATACCTCAAGCGTGTGACGGAAATGTTACGCCCCTCACCATACTGTTGTATTTCCTCAGCGACCAGCACGGATCAGCTCTAGGCATGACGAAGCGGATATCGTCCTCTTTTGGAAGACCAAACAAAGTAGTTTCACTTTCACAACAAAGCACACAGCGTCTTCAGGACATGGCGGCGGCAACAATACTAAAGCGAGAATAAAAGTTACGCCTTCTTTCTTTGCATGAACATTTGGACGGCGTTATGCAAATCTTCCCACATAGCAACGTAGACGTGGGGGCGTGTTAGAACGAGCTGTTAGGTAGGTGTGGCTGACTCTTAACTTTTATAAAGAATATCTCTTTGGATTTGAGACTTTAGTCTTTGCAACTTTACAGATCTTCTTTATGCACCAAGAGCTTGTAACACTCCAAAGAGAAAGGAAAAATTGAAATCGCATCATATGACCCCTTTAAGGATGGATTGGCACATGGTTTGTCTAAAAGCAAATGAAAAACAGCACATAGACAAATAAACAACATAATAAACTTGATTTTCACTACAGGGGGACTTTACATTTAATTTAATTAGAAAAAGGTTGACCTTTTCTGGTTTTATTTCTAAAATGATGGCTAATTGTGTGATAGCTTTTTGCAAACTTTGCAAATTCTGAGCTAACCTAAAATTATCATTCCTTTTTTTTTTGCTCCCTTACGTCAACTGGTGCTTTCTTATGGAAATGCAAATCTAGTTCTATTAATGTTATTATTATTACTGTTTTTTTTTTTTTTCAAAATGTATAAAAGTATGCTTTTTAAATGTATTTATTTTGCTGTGTCTATAAAACGCTGCAGATATTGTCAATGACAACGTGTTATTGAAAGAGCAAAAGGACAAGCTGTTCCAGTTGTATTTATAGTAATGAACTATTTTCCAATTCACGCCATTTGTGTAGGCCTATGTGTGTGTGTTTCTCAAACAACTAACGTATTCTCATCAGTACGGCACAAATTGCTCTTAGCCCTCTGGTCTCAAAGCGCTTCTGTTGTTTGTTTGCAGTTTGATGTTATCTGTTTGCCCTTGAGGACGAGAGCGTCGCAGTGCAGAGGACACTAGTTTCATGAGCGAAAAGAATAAATGACCGGCAGAGGCATGGAGGGAGGGTGTTTTGTCCTTGGGACACTGCAGATATTACAATATCGCCTCCCATTCATACTTCTCAATATGTGGTTGCCAGGTTCCTCATAGCAACAGAGATCAATTTATAAAATACAGTCTGCAAGTGTGCTTCTCATACCGTATTGACTGAATCAATAACTCCCGGTTTCTGTGCGGTGTACATGTTGAGGCCCTAGATCAGGGATGGGCCCCGTATACGGCCCTCAGTGTCTTTTAGTACGGCCCGCTGGAGGGTTTCCGCGGGTCCTTAAAACGTCTTCAGTTAAATTGTTTACATTTAAGGCCATGCAAACTCTTAAATGGTACAAAAAGTCTAAATTATACGAGGTCTTTGGGGACGGAAAGACAATAATTGCTATATGGATTAATATGATGATTAAACTTCAAAAGGCTACTATTTCACTGAATAATCTTGAGCACTGCAGTCAGCTTTGTGTACTGCGGTTACCGGGGAAACCACTAGATGCGCAGTTTCGCAAGTGACACCTGCTGGCAAAGAACGAATTAGCTTTTTCAAAAAGCGCATCTGCTATTTTTGCTACATATTTTTAAATGTGAACCAGTGGATCGACAAAAAGCTAATGCATTATAAAAATCTAAACAATTAAGAAACTAAGATATATTTATATGTTATTTAATATAATAATTGATTAAATTAATATAATAATTGATACTTTTGACTCATCCCTTTTCTTAAAAATTGTTTAAAGGCTGAAATGTGAAGTGCAGATCTTAAAAAGGTCTTAAATTTGATTTTAAAAATCCTGCAGATACCAGGTTATTTTATGATACCATTTGGAATAACTTATTTAATAAAGCCCTTTTTAACTGTCCTTTTAGGTTGTTTAAATAAAAAAAGGACCTCTGTATATTTGTTTGTTGCAAATTTACAGACAATGCAATTGAAATGTTTAGATTGGCTTTACATTTCTGTCCACTGACAACAAATTTTTCCTTCTGAATTAGCATAACTGCACAAATTTTATACTTAAAATCTTTGAAAAATTACATTAGTTATACTTTCATTTCCTTCAATAAAAAGGAAATTGAGTACGACAGTGTAAAAGGTGTGTGGATTAGTAATCTGGCCCCTTGGTATAAAGGAGAAAAAATGCTGGCCCTCGTCACTATCAAAGTTGCCCATCTGTGCCCTAGATGTTGGAACTGTATCAATTCAGACATACAGCCGCTCAGTTATTTTTATAGTCAGTCCATTAAACTCCAAAACTGTCCTTTTAGGTTGTTTTGAGAATGTTCTGTAGGCTACTAATAAAAAAAGGACCTCTGTATATTTGTTTGTTGCAAATTTACAGACAATGCAATTGAAATGTTTAGATTGGCTTTACATTTCTGTCCACTGACAACAAATTTTTCCTTCTGAATTAGCATAACTGCACAAATTTTATACTTAAAATCTTTGAAAAATTACATTAGTTATACTTTCATTTCCTTCAATAAAAAGGAAATTGAGTACGACAGTGTAAAAGGTGTGTGGATTAGTAATCTGGCCCCTTGGTATAAAGGAGAAAAAATGCTGGCCCTCGTCACTATCAAAGTTGCCCATCTGTGCCCTAGATGTTGGAACTGTATCAATTCAGACATACAGCCGCTCAGTTATTTTTATAGTCAGTCCATTAAACTCCAAAATAGACAGTTGTTTGATACAGAAACTCTCTTAAGAAGGTGATCTATACTTTTTCCAGAAATCAAGTTTAAAATCAAAATTCACTTTTGTTCACCAAGTCCAAGCTTAAATTTCTAAAATATGATAGTGTTAAGCTCAAACTGTACACGTCTGGTCTTGGACTCCTGTGCAAACTATGAAGCAGCATCACCTAGTGGACTAGCACAGAGACTGAATTTTAAAAAATTTAAGTGACTAATGCACAATGAGGACAAACAAGTTTTTATAGCAATTCAGAGGTAACAGTTAAAGTTAAAAGGTAGATATTAAGCTTTGGTGTTTCTAACCAATGCAGAGGCACACTAATCAAACTGAGCACACTAGAAATAACACTTCAAACATCTTTCTCTGCCAAATACCAATATACTTTATTCCAGAGTGTATATACAGACCTAACCTGTTGAATCACCATAAAGACTCAAAAACAAAAATTACCAGGCGAGTTTGAGAAACAAAGCCCACATACATTTCTCTACGAAGTACTCCAGGATTTATATTGATCAAATAAAAATAGAAATCAAAACAAGACATTGTGAAAAATCTAATCTTAACCCATTCCATTACCACTTAAACCCACCCAGTTCCTCAAAATAAGAAATAAATCAAAACATCTTCATACACACACACACTCATCCATTCAACTCACAGTAAGTAATTTACACTAAAGTAGCACAATGACATATGCCATATTAAAAAAAAAGTCAGTCTCGCTCATCCACACACATTCATAATTAGTTTCAGTGCTGACTCTCTGCAGAAGCAGATCGGGAGCGGCTCTGTTTCCTCTGAGGAGTAGGAGAGCGAGAAGGAGACCGGTTGCTGGTACTCTTCTTCTCTGGGGTGCGACTGGCTGAGCGACTGCGAGAGCGCTTGCTTCCACGCTCAGGGGTGCGACTCCGACTGGGTGATCGGGAACGGGAGCTGCTCCTGCTGCGGGAACGACTCCTACTACGACTGCGGAGAGAAAGAAAAACAGGTTAAGATTGTGTCAGGGTTTCTGCAGGGTTTATGAAGGTAAGCGCAAGAATAAGTAAATTAAAAGGGAACGTAATGTTCTTTAAATTTAACTGATGAAGGAACGCACAATAATTGTATTAAGCAACACTAACTTTGAAAATACAACTTCCAACCAATTTTTAAATTTTACATAAAGCCTAAG